AAAATTGCGAATGTAAAATGTTTCCTCTTTCAAGCATTATCGTCACCTTCAGCAATTCGCAGAAACGCAACCCCGCGTACATAAACTAAACCGCCAGCTAGCTAGCTATCTGAACGCGACCAACGTGAACCTTGAATCGTAGCTTGGAGGCGTTTGAGGCGGAAGTCTCTACAAACCGCACAAGTTCCACGTTTGATGGCACAATCCACAAGGCGAGGCCACATCCAGAGCTAATAAACATTTGTATCTTCAAACACGAATCATTATCATTAATTAAACAGGAAAACAATTTTGTACAAAGTGACTGTTCAATGACTTCGAATTTTTTTTTAATGCAGTCCCGCACTTATGCCGTTCTTTTTCCAAACGCTTGGTATCGCTACCACAATTTATGCTGTGTATTAGCCAATTACGAGCCAGTAGCTGGTTTGATTGTGTACAGCCTTTGTAAGAACACTGTAAAGGCGTACAGTAACGTTCAAGAATGGTCTGCCGTGAGGCACAGGATGAAAGAGAAATTAAGAAAGCTGGCATGTAAAAACTCAAGAACGTCACAATTCCAACACCTGTTTTGGTAATAAATAAAGACGTGTTGCAAACTGAGACAGCGCACCGGATGTTGTGCATAACCAAAAATTAGAATTCATCCGACATTCGCTCTGTATAAAATCGAAGAGAGAACAGCCGAGGAATGCAAAGCGCTTGTATTGATATAACCGCGATTCGTATAAGGAAACAAATAACTTTCACTCGCTGTCATATGAAAAATCAAGTGGCATTCAACTGTTGAAGAAAAAGCTCGTCGTCATGAAAGCTCAATAGACCTTAATCGGCACTTGTTCTGAGTCGTAAAAAATTGACATATTTCCGCTGCAATTATCCGTCATCATGACAGTCAATGTCCCTCGCGCATTTTCCTGGAAAATACTGAGTAAAACCTAGAAAAATCTCCGGGCCGAGATTTGAACCAGAAACCTCCCGAACAGGAAGCATCAGCTCAAACCAATGGCCATTCGACGTTTCCTGCTGTTGCCCCCTACAATTTTTTTTATGTATTGCCTACGTAGTCTGGTAGATATTAACCGACGTTTCAGAGTAACTTACTGCTTCCATCAGCATCGCCATGATTACCACCGTAAAACCCTCAAATCTAGTCTTCACCAATCAACTTTGCAATTTCTCTCTGATTTAGAGTCTTTTACTTAGCGTAATTCGTGTGGCCAGGAATTAATCATTCATATTAAGTCCTAATTTTGTCGTCGGTGTCGCCATAAACATAACAACATCGCGAAGAGAAGTAAAACACAAGAGGCAATCAAACCATTCATCACGAGGCAGAAACACAGGAAGTTGGTAACACTGCTGTGGGACATGAAGGGAAGAACATGGACCGAGGGTGTTTGAGAACAGGCCGCTGAGGGAAATATCTGGACCTAAGAGGGATGAAGTGAAAAGAGACTGGACAAAGTTGTACAACGAGGACATTAATAATATGTGGTCTTCGGCAAATACGATTAAGATAATAATTAATTCGAGGTTGAAATACGCTACAGGTCCACCATGTGTAGTTCGCACATGTAAGGCAGCCTGGAAGTAAAAGACTACTTGGAAGACCTAGTCATAGATGGGAGAACAATATTCAAGTGGATCTTAGCGAATAATGTGGGATTATTTCAAGACAGGGGCGTGGACACACCAATGAACCTTCGAGTTCTCCAGAAGGTGGGAAAATATTGGAAAATTGTTGCAATGAATGTGTTCCATTCAGATATGATGGGAGTTTGGCCAAAGCAAATTAGACTAAACCAGATCTCTCAAACAGAATCCTTCCCAGACCTGGCCAAGAAATTTGGCACCTCTTACGTAAACCCAGGGTTAATTACTCTGTTCAGAACACAGCGCCACGGGAACCTATGTTAAGCCACCTGAATCCACTCCACACTAATCCAGTTTCAAAATCCATTTCAATATAATCCTTGCATCCATGTCCAGCTCTCGAGTCATCTCTTCTATTTACTTATGAACCATTTTAATATTATCTTCCCATCTACAGCTACGTGTCGCAAATGGCCTCTTCCGCTATGCATCCTTGTCTTCTTATGCATGCTACATGTCAACCCGTTTCTTTCGGATTACACACTTATTATCGGCTCTAAACTTTTGAATGAAAAAATCTCACCAACGTGACCAAAAGCAATTACGCCCCACGGCCGTTTCAAAGCTCAATCCTTTAAAAAGCCTGCATTCTGGGAAAGAAATGACCTCATTGTGGGGTCATATAGACGACATGCCTGATTACTGAACGTTAAATCAGTTGGTAAACATATTTACCACTACACTTTTTGTTTCAAAGTAGAAAGTTGAAAGTCCTTTGAACGCTTAAGTTCCTGAAATCTCCCACCATACATCACAACCGGTGAGTTGAAAGGTACTACCCCCTGGGGGGGGGGGGGGGGGGGGCTCTGTGGTGGCACACCGTTCATAAAATGTGCATCACGCTCGCGATGCCTTACTCACAGGCTGCGTGGGTTAGGAGTGGGTCAACTATGCGTTTCGAACCACATGAAGACACGATTTAACACGCTGTATCAAGTACTGGCTTCTGACGACAGCGAATTGGAATTGTGATGGGCAGAAACGTACACGTGACTTAAGTATACGATATGATATAAGGAAAATCACAAGTTTTGTTTTACATACCGGACCTCAACTTCCTACATGGCAGCCGACCCCCACTCCAAGCCACGAAACATAAATCCCACTTCGCCCAAGGTTCATTGCCATCCTGACTCCGTACGTCTTAACGTTAAGCAGAACAACAGAAAGGAAAAAGCTGCCTTCTGCCAGCCGTCCCAGAGAGAAAGTTCATCAGCAGTTCCAACCCAAATAGCAGCTGTAACACTGCACTTCATTCTGCAAGTATCCGGTTCGAATCTCGGCGGCCAAAGATTCTCAATGATTTTCCTTACCTTCAGATACGCCACGCTCGTCTTCCTACAAACGCGACTACTTATCTGTCATTTCACGTTCTCAAGGCGATGAACCCCACTAAGGCCTGGGTTCAGACGCAGGTGGTTGCCTACTTTAAGGACGTAAGTTACCGCTTCCACCGTCTACACCCAAAAAAAAAAAAAATGCTTGTTCCCACGTTCAAGATCAGACCGCGTCACAACCCACAAGACCACACAATCCACATTCCTACCGCTGTAAAAATCTCAAATCCCACAAAACCCTACAAGGTCATATCCAAAAACACTGACAAAGTTTTGTGGTGGAAAAAGTTACATGCTTCGCATAGCTCGAGAGAGGATGGTGTTGTAAAAAACGCCTTGCCTTTCGTCCGCGTCGTCTTCATCGCAGTCGCAAGGTAACTTTGCCGGGGGCAATTGAGGGGGGATTCGGTTGCACTGATGGAATGGTGGACTATGAGACCGGGTCTTCCGTCTGACAGCGAAGTGGCGCTCTCTGGAAGGGAAACTCGCCCTCTTCTTCTGCGTCGGAACACTCACTTCTTGTCTGTTTTCCCCGGTGACATCTTTCAAAATTCCCATGGCGAAAAAAAAAAACACTTTCCACAAGACGACAGTGAGGGTGGGAAAATGTCTCAGAACACACTTGCAGACATGTGCACAGCACAAATTCGTTGCACGGACAACTGAACACTACAAACAGCAAAAACAAATGCAACACACTGTCGGCTACGTGTTTTGTAACGTACGACGAAACCAGTTCTAACCTTTGGTACGAACGACTTCAACGCAAGACTTATTATCTGCCAACCACTTCGAATAACTTATTTATCTACAAAACTTATCTCGAATTGGACACGTCCCAACAGACAGTCCAAGAAGTACTGGACTTGGGGTCTTCTTTCCTTTTACCGACTATTTATCCCCCACCACAACTTTTCCGCGTGTTTCTATCCCCCCCACCACCATTCTCCTCTCTGTGCATAACAAGTATTCTTTTCGATTCTATGTCATGCACATACGTCAAGGTGAAGAATCATACAGCGTGAGGAACGTCCCAATTCAACGACAAGAAACCTCGCAGACCCAGCCAACATTGAAACTTCCTGTACGAGTGACGTAACAATATTCTGCCGCGGTCGCCAGAATGACATCTGGCCTTCAGAACTGACGCCAGTGGTTTCAGAAATGCCCTGAGTCGGCGACCTTTCGGTGGACAGAGGTGTGTCTAAGACATCACCGAGGATTCCCAAACGTGGCTGGCTAGCTCATGACACCCCTTGCAAGAATTACGAAGGTGTTGGACACTTCTTGAGATGAAATGAGTCTTAAATGACCAGCAGAATCTATTCAAATTAACAAAAATACGTGTAACGATTTTCGAATTACGTGCAGACATACAAATACACAGAACATTAAGCCGACGCATTTATGCAACATTTAATGGCGAAAGCACCTTAAAACAGCTGCAATTATTCTTAAATTATTACATGCCATAACATTTTTTGGGAGGGGGGGGTAACCGGCTGATTAAATTCAGAGAAAGCAAAGTTGTTGTTACGATCAGAATATTTTGACGACCTGCCTGGGAACGTTCATGGCCTTAACCCCCCCTCCCCCCCCAACCACTCACCATTAATGTAATGTATTTCCTCCCATACATTAATTCGGCTTCAAAAATCCAGTCAGTCGATTACCCAAGGGGTTTTAAAATATTTTTAAAAAATGTAGCCGTACAAGGGTAGATTCATCATAAATGCTTACACAGCGCAATGGCCAACACGCAGCAATAAAATAATCAGCATGCGCGCGCAGACATTTTGAGTGAACGAAGAAATAACTGATAAACAGCAGACAGGTCGAGGGTTTATCTCGGTTTTAACTTCACGAAATTGTGAAA